ACCTTCCACCCCTGTTCTAAGAGGCCTCAGGGCTCTCTTGAATTGACGGTGACTTCCTGAGCTGCCTCTCTCAACCCAGGGCTTACTCAGGAATGTTAGGATTTCTGGAAGCCAAGCAGCTGCAGGGACAAAGGCAGTCAAGCTGAGTGGCAGGCAGCTAGCTCAGTCTTAGGAAATCTCTGAATATCTGGACCAGGGACCTTGGCCTAGTCCAACGTCCCAAGTCACAGTCCTGTGGTCAGTCAGCAGGGCCTGCTGTGGGCCACTGCACTGCAGAATTCAGTGACCTGAACTGCAGTGTGGTAGGCTCAGCCCTTGGCCTTATTTAAGGATTTGGGGTGTACCTAGGGACCTGGGGAAGTATATTAAAACATTTGAGTGGTTTTAGAAAAAAAAAGAAATTGAAATAAAATGTTAAAAACAAATTTATTTCATTTTAAGGATTTTTCCACATTAAACAACTTTTTGAGGTAGTACGGCCAAATGCCTCGGATTAGAGGAGTATACTGCATTTTGGCGGGAAGGGCTAGTAATAAATACAAACCCATTTGTTTGGCAAAGATGCCCCATACTCTTCCAGGATGAGTTTTCCAGTGGCTCTCACTGAAAGCCTCTGTGATTAGGATCCTTCTCCAGAGACTTTGATTTGTTTAATTGGTCTGTGGAGGGCCTGGCCATAGGGATAGACTAGCTGCTTGGGTGATTCTAAATTTTCCCTGGGATTGAGTGCCACTGCTCTGCAGTATTTGCGACTCAGGCCACTTGGGTCTGTTGTCTAGGTTTGCAAGCATCAGAGGGAAAGTCTTAGTATCCACCTGGCCCCTTCCAGAAAAGCCAACTAGGGGGCTTGTGCAAATGATCTGTAGGAGTCCCCATGCTGGGCTCAGGAGTCTTGACCCCCTTTTCAGAAGAGGGGAAGAAGGACCAGAGACAGTCTACTCCATGGCATTGGGATGGGCTACAGATAAGATTCTGTGAAAGGGTGCTGTGAGAATGCCCAATCAGTGTACCACAAACAGGCAGCTGACAATAATGGTCTTAAAAAGAGAAGTTTCTTCGGTTCAGACATTTTATTTTCCTACCAATGGATGAGTTGTTCTCATATATAGTTGATTCTCATTGTGTGTGGTAGTTACATTCTTTAAAATTACTGTGAACACTAAATTAGCAAGTGCACAGTCATTGCTCCTAGAGGGGACTATAGGGTAGGTTCCTGTGAGTTTCTGGCTACATTTTTATCATCTGATCAACTGTTTTATGTGTTTGTTTAAGGACACCTTATTTAATATATTGTTGATTCATTAGCATTGAGCTCTCGGCTAACAGCACTATGACTTGTGCCTGAGTAAAATGTACCTAACAACAAGTGTTTTCTCCATAAAGTACATCCTAGCTTTTGTGCTCAGAAACACTAGACAGAACGTCAGTGCTCTAACTGTGGGCCATTTTAGACAGTGAAACCACCAATACAAAGCATGAAACATGGAAAACATAGCATTAGACATGTGTTTATAGTATGAGTAGAAGAGAGAAGGCAGAGTGTCAGCTTGTCTACCTCAGCTGGGAATGTGTATTGAAAGAAAAGTTTTCACTGCTCTGTGATGCACATGTCTATAATTGACTAGGAAAGCACCTTGAATATTGAGTGTAAATTTTAACAAGTAAATGAGTTCATAAATATGTATTTGTAAACATAAGGAAATGCTATACACAGCGATGCATTTCTATATCTCCTCCTCCACCCTGCCCATCCTATTCTTTTCTTTCTCCAAAGGCTTGCCTAGTCTGTCAAGGTAGCCTTTGTTGATCTGCAGTCGGCCTCTGATCATTCCATCCTGTACTTTTTAGAAAATATTGTGGAGAAAAATCATTTAACCAATCAGTGAGTACTAATAAAATATTTTAAAGTACCCTGCAGGACTCTGGGGAGATACACTGGAAAACAGATAAGTATAAATAATACCTTCCAAAAAACAACTTACCATTTACTGGTAGTTAAGAAAAGAAGGCTAAGAGGAGAAAGGAAGACAATGTCCAGGTACTGTACCTAGGTTTGGTTTAGAAGAATTAAACATGAGTGCTGAAGATGTCTAGAAAAGGTTACTAATAATAATGGTTTTAAAGAGAGCTTCCCTGAGAAAGGGAATTTTCATCAGATCTTAAGGAGGAAAGACAGATAAAGAGAATGGATAGAGGACATATTCAGGATATATAAATGCTGCTGAGAAGTGGGAAGGACAATAGTTGTTTATGAATAAGAATAAAGAGATGGCCTTAGCTAGGATGCTTGTGTGTAAGTAGTTAAAAGTAGTGAGGCTGAATGCAAGCTCAGGTCTGCCTGATGTTTTGTTTTCCATTCTAAGAGGCACTTTACCAAAAACACTGATAGGACATCCCAGATGGACCAATCAATGTCAAAATATTTTACATATAGTGACATTTGCTACATTCCTGTAGCCAGTATGTAGGACTCATTTGTAATTGTAGATACCTTTATTTAGGGCCAATACACTTAATAAGTTATCCTGGACAAAAGGCCAGAATGTGGGCCTTCTAATGAGTTGCTCTGTAGGATCCTTGATAGTCTTATATGGCTGACACCATCCCAAGTAACCCACCCACTGCTCTTCAGCAGGAACTGACTTCATACTAGTGAACATTATATGATATAGCCATCCTACTTTTTTCCTAATGATGGGAACACATGCTGAAAAGTGCGTTTTTATGTGATTTTATCTCTGATTGAATATCACAGGCTAATTTATATGAACCAAGTAGGTCTAGGCTAATCAATAAATGTAGCTTCTCAATGCAATCAAGAGATATGGTAGACATGATATGGACAAGGCTGCTGCCAGCATGAAATGGCATATGTTTTACAGTAAACGTTTTTAGGAGTATGCTCTAAAATAATAAGTATAGGTTAGCAAATACATAAACTAGTAACATAATGATTTATTGTCATCAGGTATTCTATACTGTACATAATTGTCTGTGCTACACTTTTATGTAATTGGCAGCATAAACAGGTTTGTTGATACTGTCATCTTCACAAATACCTGAGTATTCCCTTTCAATATGATGGCACAAGGCTACAATGTCATTAGATGATAGAAACTTTTCAGGTCTATTATAATCTTGTGGTCATGATTCCTCCTTTGTAGATTCCCAAAATACTTTCATATGTAAATTTTAAAGCTATGAATTTACCTGTCTTGTGTATAGGAGATACTTGGTGTCAGTGATTATGAAGTTCTAAAATATTCCATGATATTAAAAACACTCATTTGGTACTAATGATTGGAATATATATATATATATTCCAATCATTAGTACCTATATATATTTGTTGAATGGTCTATTACTATAAACAATTGCTTGACTTTGTTTTGTTTTCAAAACCCTAGCATTATTTAAGAAATGTGCTTTGAGACAGATAAAATCTCCTATTGAAATAAAAAAAATCCTATGGGATCACCTTCGTGTATGTGACCTGTGGTAGACAGATATGCACCCCATGGCTGTAGTTTGAAAACTTTATACTCCCTTATTAGAAACAAAATAACGGCTATATTAGACTTTGTTACTTTATGCCTCATACCACAAAATAACTGCTGCATTAGATATGTTATGCCTTGTATCTAGATGTTTCCTCAAAGCCTTATGCTGTCATAGGTGGGGAGTTTCAAAGGTGGCTGGATTAGGTGTGTGGTGTTAGGATTAGGCATTCGATGCTGGGATTAAGGGTGCTCCACCCTGGGGACCACCCAAAAGGAAGCAGCCTGGATGAAATATAAAGGGACAGAAAGAAGCTGCTCTGCTGCTTTGCTCCCTTCTGCCTGTCCTGCTACACCATGCACTGTTTCTCCTCTGCAATGCCCCTCTGCCACGCCACCCCGCCTTGAAGCCAGCTCCCTATGAACCGAAACCTCTACAAACTGAGCTACCATAAACCTTTTGTCCTTTAACTTTGGGTGTCCAGTATTTAGTCTCAGAAATGAGAAAAGTAACTAAGACATGTGGCTGCTTTGGCTTGTTGGACTGCAGCTGAGGCCAGCCTCTTAAGAACATTATTAATAAAGGAAAAGTGATGGAGCATCTGGCACTGAATATTTGCTACTATTAATATAAAGACCAAGTTTCCTATAGTGTCCCACTTGTCTCCTTGTAAATTCTACACGGTAGCACAATGCTTGGATCGCAGGAAACAGGAGCTAGCTTAGAACAAGTGGGCATCCACAATGACTGAGATTAGTTTTACATCTTGGATGTGTAAGTGGCGTTTACTGAGCTGAAACATAAACTTGACCATCTTTAATTCAGCAACACTGATTAGGCACTTGCTGTGTGCCAAGCTCTGTGCTACTTGCAGGGAAGCAGAGAGAGCAAGAAAGAATAACCACCGCCATTACTGCATGTTAGGCAGTGTAAGCCTCTGCAGAAGGTATTTCATGCAAGTTAGGCACCCTCATCTTTCTTTTCCTTGGAGGAAACTGGCTTTGAGAAACTATGAGTACTTGCCAGGCCATTTCACTTTACAGCCATTCCAGCCCCTCACCCCAAATCAATAGTCTGAACTTCGCAGTACACACCCTAGGAAGTTACTCTGTATTATTGAGAACAAAATGAGACCCTGAGCATCAACCGAGTTTATCTACTCTCTCTAGAGAACTCTAGATGAGTGTGTGTGTGTGTGTGTTGCGGGGGGGGGGGGGATCCAGCCCCTCCTCCAGTCTCAAGAGTATCCCACTTCTAACACCTTAAGCAGTTAGGTCAGAAGGAAAGGAAAGGAGATGAGAGAGGTTTTGCTGGCCCTTTGACTCCTCTCCAGATCTTCCGTCCATCTCTAGGGAAGAAGGCTGGGTCTGAGGCTGCCTCAGTCTCCCAAGGTCCACACGGAGTCGCCAGGTTTCTTTGCTTTCACAGCCCTGAGCGACTGCCACACCAAATACCAAACCTTGGGCAGGAACCAAACGGTCACTTCCCCGCCCTCTGGGCGCAGTATGCAAATCCGAGCACCAGGAAGTAGCTGGGACCTCTCGGCCGAGCTCAGCGACAGCCAGTTCCTCTCCCACCGTGGGGGCCGCGTCGCCACTCACTGCCCGGTCGTGGCGCTTCCAGCCCAAGGTCCCGAGCTCGCGCCCCTGGCCGAGCGTCCCGCGTTCGCGGCCTGCAGCCCCTCCCCAGGCGGGCCCCGCTGCGCTTTCCTGTCGCGCCCCCTGCTTTGAACTCAAGTCACCGTGGAGCTCCGCCACTGCCGCCCCGAAACTTTCACCGCGAGCGGGTGAGTCCCGGGCTGGAGTCCGGGGAGGTGAGCGCGGACGCCTGGGTGGACGAGCAGGAACGGCAGCGGTGCCTCTGGTTGGAGCCCGGGTAGCGGGCTTGGCTCGGGAGCCGATCCGGGACTTCAGCGCGGGCGGCTGCAGCAGAGGGCTCGCACCGCTTCGCGGCCTCATTGGCACCCGCCCCCGGCGGATAGAGCAGCCGAACGCGGTCAGCCGGGGGTGACCGGCCCGGCAGCCCGGGCGCGGGGGCTGGCGGCTCCGCAGGTGTTCGCAGCCGAGCTGTGCGGGGGCGTGGCGGGAGGCGCGGGAGGCCGGTGCGGTCCAGCCCTGGCCGCTCCCTGAGAGCCGGAGGAAGCCTCTGTCCGCTAGGAGCGGGTGCGCGACAGTGATCCCGGTGGGGCCTCCTCGGAGTGAGCAATCTGGTTTCCCGACTGGGGCCCAGGTCCCCCAAAAGTGATGCATGGGCTTTCGCCCGGGTCCTCTCTGAGGCCGGCGACCGCTGCCCTCCTTGGTGGCCCCGGGCAAGATGGTGACGTCGAGCGGCCGCAGCAGCGGCTGGTGCTCAGCCTCCCGCAGAGCCGGGCTGCTCTCACCCTGCAGCCTAGCAGCCTAGAGCCTTGGCGGAGAGGAAGCGGGAGTTATTTTAAGAATTCAGAGGTTGCCTTTCCTTCGCGTTGGGGGAAGGGTGCAAGCGCCAGTTCCCACTTTCCCAAGTTATCTGGAAGGGCTGTGCCGGCGTCTCCGTGCTGTCTATGCCATTTGTAATGCTCTTTCTAGCAACCTCACCGCCCTGTGGACTTGTGCTTGTGTCTGCATTTCGTGAGCGTGTGCGTGTGTGTGTTCTCAAATCTATCTAACTTCTTCCAGGTTGGAATCTAGGCCTTGCAGTTTCCCAGCTATGTGAAATTCCGTTTGGGTCTCCTCATCTTTGAGAGTTTGCTTAACTGCCGCCAGGGCTATTTAGTACACAGAAAGCCACTGGAACACTCTGGGCATTCTGTAAACACTGCTGTTATTGTTGTTTATTGCAATGAATTTTATCTATGCATAAGAGGCTTCTTGGTTCTTGTATTTTGGTGATTTTAAACCTAAAACTACAAGTTTGATTTAACGTCTGACCTTATTGGTAAATCTGCTTAGTAATTATGTGAGATAATTTGCTGTCCCACTGCAGACCCAGCAGTCCAATGCCCCTAAGAATGTTGGATTCCTCGTTTGTTGCCTGCTCCCCGGTGGTTAGGTGGGGTGTTTTCTCTGTGCTGCCAGTGCCTGTAGCATTTGCTTAGGGGAACAGCCTCAAACCATACAGGAGCTCACTAAGTCCTTCCTAAGTTACCCTGCTGGGACAGGGTGGGATCCCACTAGAGGATCCAGTCAGTTCTTCCGTTCTGGTTTGGAGGTAAGGAAGCAAATGTTTTGTGACTTGAAGAAACTTAAATGGATCACTAGAGCTTCTTGGGCCTCTTTGGCTGTAGATGAGGTGACTCTTCAGGGGGAAGGGTAGAGAGCAGCAGATATGAAGGAAGAGAAGACAGGAGCCAAGAAATCTGAGTTGGTTTCTTTGCCCTTTTGTCATACTGTGATTTGGGCTAAGCCTTTTGGACCATTTACTGAGCCAGTGTTTCATTCATAGCAGAATGGGAGTCAAATTGTGATTTGTCTGCATGTATAAACTGCATTCACCACTTACTTGGGAAGCACCATGGCAGCAGCCTTCTCTGCCTTGTCCAGAATGATAGCTAAGTGCCTGGCACATACTAGGTGCTCATTGTAGGTGACTTGGAAGAAGGGAAGAAGGCCTGCCAAGGACACCTAGAGATGAAGAAGCTGGGCTGGTTCCTAAAGCCCCTTTCTGGCCTCGCCCCTATGATGGAGATGTGACGGAATGTGTTGACCAGCTCTAGTGTCCTAAATGGAAATCCCTGTTCAGGACCAGTCTTCGATCTGTATTGCTGGAAGAGAGGTCTTAATGAGGGGCATTAAATGTCTCTTGCTAAGGTAGCTGCCCCCCACTTTACCTTAGCATCTCTGATATTGCCAAGGTATGTGGTGACTTTGTAAGATCTCTCGCCTTTGTATTTGTAGTAACTTACTTTTAGCAGAAAAGTGGTCCAGCAGTTTCATGAATCAATGACTTTCAAAACTTTTTAGTTCCACCTGTATTTGTTTTCAGGAATGAATTACCAAAATATTTGAGAATCCAGTTGATTCCCATGAATATGTAGAGTTGTAACTTAACAAAATGAAAAGGTATGACTGTATACAGATGCATACCGATTTATAAATAAGGATACCATGTGTACACGCCCACAGTATAGCTCCCTGGTACTGATGATGTCTGTGATACGTGGATTGGAGTTAACATTGAAGGGTCATGGACTTTGTTCAATTTCACATCAGATCTTTCCTGGGCAGTTCGTGACAGTAAGGGTTCAATACCTTTGCTTGTGCAGGGCACTGAAACCTCCTGATCTTTTACTTCATTTCAACTTATCATGGCTCCTAGCAGGCAGGGACAGATACACACAAGGAGATTAGGGGCTGGTCCAAGGTCACAGGTTAAGTGATACCATGTGGGACAGTAGGTGTATTTTCTGGCTCTTCTCATTTTCTACCTTTGAACTTGTAGTAGGTAGGCACTCAGTTACTTAAAAGCAAAGAAGCAGTTTATCATTTAATACACATTGTTGTAGTCAGGGTTTTCAAGGGAATAGATTTGATACAGGACACATAATTTATAGGATTATTTTATAATATTCACCCAAAAAGTCAAATGCTGAGGAGTGTGAGAGATTAGCTGTACATGAGGTACACTGTACCCAGAGAATCCAGCCAAGGGCCTGGATCCCACAGCAATGACCCACACAAGTTCAGCTGAAGACTTAAGCTCCAAAACAGTGCCCTCCAGGAGTTAAGCCGGTGGCCTAGAACTCACAGCGATAGCTTATGCTTATCCACATCGAGGATCTACACCTGGAAGGCCAAAGGCCAGTGGTGGAAGCCAGAAAACCTGCACTGGTTGGGTGAAGGATTTGTGCCACCAGGCTGAGGGTTCTATACTGGAGCCAGGAAGTGATGCTCATGGTGAAGATCAGAGCTCCCCTGACAGGAACAGCAGCCTTTCACAGCAACAGTGAGGCCCTGAGCTCCTCCTCTGATAAGAACAGCCAAGTTTGCATCAGGAAAACCACCCGAGGCAAGCTTCTAGAAAAATCAACAGCCCACCATCTTCCCCTCCAGCTCCCTTTTTATGCAGTTGGTAACAATCCTCGGGTGGGTCTTCCACATCCAGACCAGGCTGATTCAGTTCAGCTGGGTGTTCCAAGTGGATCATTAATTAATCCACCACACACATTTTAGAGATGATATACAGAATCATGAAATAATTCTCTTTTATCACTTGGTAATTAAATTAACTGAGCAGTTGTCCATCATTCATTGTCTTCTAGAAATGAATTTCTGTGTTTTTCAGCGTTGATTCCTGTTTAGGGGTAGGGAGGGTGATCTCTAGTAATTGCTAAGGTAACTATATGACTGCCATCCAGTTGGGTCTAGTGACTACCTTGGTCAACTCATTGGCTAATACAAAAGGCCCCAAGGTATATTTGACAAAAGGACTCTCTCCACGCTCTGCTAGAAGTGCTTCCCCAAGAACACTACTGGCCTCTGTGTGATTATTTTCAGAACAAGAACGTCATTTGAGGTAAAAGCACAAAGTTAGGAGATGGGGCTCATGGAACACATGGTAGAACAATGTTTCATTTTCTGACTACTTGCTGGGTATAGGGTGCTGTCCTAAGCCAATATTTCTATAAAATGGCATTCATGGGCCCCCATCTTTTCAATTTAGTGAAGAGAAGGATGTAGAAGAGGAAGTTACTTTTTTCACTCAGAAATACTGAAATATTTCTTACAACTGTCTAGTTTCCTGACACTTAAATTGTGAAACTTTGAGTGCACTCTATCATCATTTCTAAAATTTATTTTGAGTAAGTTCCTATTTTGAGGGAGACACCCAAGTATAGAAAATGGTATGGGAATCTACCAAAGAGGGATTAGAAATTTTGCAATTGGCCAGTTCAAAGACTTCGGTCTTTTCTTGTTTTGGCTTAAGTTAGCTGAAAAACTCTCTCGTAATTTAGAATAGCAAGTTTAAATAATTAAATTAAGAAGATTTATCCATGATGACAAGTGCAGGGGCCTGTAATACCTTTTTGTTCTTGATTCTTGGGTTTCTCCTTCACTTTGGTTCCATATTTCATTTTTTCTGTTCACTGAATAAGCTGGCAACATTCTTTATTTTCCACAAAGCTATTTCTTAGAAATTGTATTTATAATCAGGATGTAGTTTTCATGGATACAGGACTCTTCCAAAGTGATGTTTATTTCACTGTGCTTTATTACTCCTCAACATATTTCCAATACCCCTTCTCCATTTCCTTTTTTAGCTCTTTTCCTACCATCTTGGCCTCATTATTGTAAATTCATTCATTATTCATACTGAGATCCCTAAATGATGTCCTGTAAAACTAGACACATGGAAATAAAATTACACAATGCATTTGAGTGGTGGTTTCCTAATGGTCCAGACTGCTGTTGTTGAGTGTTGAGAAAAGGGAAGAAGTATTCACAGGTGTGTGTAGCTCAGAGGGGCTTCCAATTTGTCTCCTTTCCTTTTCTACACTTCATCATTCAGACAGAGACAAATACTGTACTGGCTATGTGTCCCACCTCTGTCTTCACCTACAGTTCTCAGCATCCTTTATTGACACCAAACCTTACTGACTGGAAGCTGCTTGTGAACATGTCTGTCTAGTTCCCTCCTTCCCCTCTCTAGATAAAACCTACAGTGGGAGGAGTCCTGACTTCTTTGCTTCCTTCTTGGGGGTGGCCGGAGTCCACAGAACACCTGCGGAGTTGGGTCTGCATTCACCATGCCTCCCTCCACCTGAAGCCTTGCTGTCCGCCCCGCTGTTTGGCTCTTGTGGGTGCCTCCCTC